CTTCTACAGTTCCACTTTCTCCGATTTTCTTCAATGCAGTTATCACCGATATTCCTAGCGTATTGCAAAATATTGTTTTGCGAATTTTGAACCCGTGAACCCGTGAAAAATTACGCCATGAATCGTTTTTGTTTATAACTTGTTTTTTTTCAAGCTGTTTTTTTACCAAGAGCAATTGCTCTTTGGCAAAAATGCTCGAACTGGTCAATTTTAGATTTTGATTTGTGATTTTTTTATTTATAGTGCAACCAAATATCATTTTCGATTTGTGCGGAAGTGATGGTAACTTTTTTATATCAAATACAACACCCTGTATATTTTCATGGATTTGGATAGAGAATTAGATCATTAGCGCATTCAAAAAATAAAGTCACAATTATTCGACCAATTTCATTAAAAAAATAATCCTTTAAGCGATAAAGAAATCACTAAAGGTAGAATATAAAACTTTTACGTTTTCAAAGATGAAACGTTATCCTCAAACCTGATTATCAGAGTATCTAATAGTTTTATAGAACGTACATTAAGTTAATTAACCTCATCTATAACCAAATATATCTCAGTTGGAATTATGTTGAAGCTAGGATGTGGAAATTTCCAAAACATCGAAATTGATAATTTTCGTTAGTAACCGTGTTGGAGCAAAAAATGTTGTACATAAATTGTTTATAATAATGCAAGAATGCACAATCCATAACAAGATATAGCTCAGTTTTGACTATATTCTAACTAGGATCTGGAAATCCACAACACATCAAAATTGATGGTTTTCGTGACTAAAATCAATCATAACTCAATAACTAATGGGGTTAGAACAAAAGATTTTGTACATAAATTGTTTATAATGATGCATGAATACACAAACCATAACGAGACATACCTTATGATTATATTCTAGCTAGGATCTGGAAATCCACAACGTATTAAAATTGATGGTTTTCATGACTAAAAAACTAAAGGTGTTGGAGCAAAAAACGTTGAACATAAATTGTTTATAATGATGTAAGAATATACAATCCATAACCAAATATAGCTCAGTTATGATTGTATTTTAGCCAGAACCTGGAAATCCACAACATATCAAAATTGACGGTTTTCGTTGCAAAAGTCGACCATAACTCAATAACTAAAGGCGTTGGAGCAAGACATGTTGTACATAAATTGTTTACAATAATGCAAGAATACACAATCCATAACCAAATATAGTTCAGTATAGTATTCTAGTTAGAACCTGGAAATCCACAACATATCAAAATTGATAGTTTTTGTGCCTAAAGTCGATCATAACTCAATAACTAAAGGTGTTGGAGCAAAAAATGTTGTACATAAATTGTTTATAATGATGCAAGAATACACAATCCATAACCAGATATAGCTCAGTTATGATTGTATTCTAGTTAGAACCTGGAAATCTACAACATATCAAAATTGACGGTTTTCGTTACAAAAGTCGATCATAACTCAAAAACTGAAGGTGTTGGAGCAAAAAATGTTGTACATAAATTGTTTATAATGATGCAAGAATACACAATCCATAACCAGGTGTAGCTCAATTATGATTATATTCTAGCTAGAAACTGGAAATCCACAACATATCGAAATTGATGGTTTTCGTTACAAAAGTCGACCATAACTCAATAACTAAAGGTGTTGGAGCAAAAAATGTTGTACATAAACTGTTTATAATGATGCAAGAATACACAATCCATAACCAGATATAGCTCAGTTATGATTATATTCTAGTTAGAACCTGGAAATCCGCAAGATATCAAAATTGATGGTTTTCGTTACAAAAGTCGACCATAACTCAATAACTAAAGGTGTTGGAGCAAAAAATGTTGAACATAAATTGTTTATAATGATGCAAGAAAACACAATCCATAACCAGATATTTCACCATTATGATTGTATTTTAGCTGGAACCTGGAAATTCACAACATATCAAAATTGACGGTTTTCATAGTAAAAGTTGATCATAACTCAATAAATGAAGGTGTTGGAGCAAAAAATGTTGTACATAAATTGTTTATAATGATTTAAGAATACACAATCCATAACCAAATATAGCTCAGTTATGATTGTATTCTAGCTGGAACCTGGAAATCCACAACATATCAAAATTGACGGTTTTCGTTACAAAAGTCGATGATAACTCAATAACTAAAGGTGTTGGACCCCCCCTACCATCAGGTTTATTATTATTATTGTTAGCTTAATTACCAAAAATACAAAAATTAAATAAAACCGATGAAAATAAATAATAACTAACGTGGAAAATAAACTCAACTACTTCATGACATTTACGAAGTCGAACAATTATTTACTTCTGGACATTCTTCAAGATTGGAGAAGGAATTAAACGAATCTCGTTGCGTATTCGCTCTTTTAGGTCATTTAAATTATTCGGCCTGTTAAAATAGACTTTGGATATTAAATAGCCCCACAAGAAAAAGTCTAATAGGGTTATATCGGGTGATCTTAGACGGCCTTATACTTCCCCTACTTCCGATTTATCTGTTAGTGAAAGTCGCATTTAAAAATCGTCGAACATTGAGTGCATAGTGTGGAGGCGCACCATCTTGCTGGAACCACATTGATTGGAAAAGATGGCAACTACAGCAGGATTCAATTCTAACTGAAGAAACTTAAATTAAATAAGGTCCCAGAATTCGGGTACCAAGAATTCCCACCCACACATTAACTTACAGTGGATGCTGAGTATATTTTTCCAGCATCCAATGTGGATTTTCTGTCGCCTAGTACTAACAATTTTGCCTATTAACAGACCCATTAAGGATGAACGTCGCCTCGTCAGAAAAATTGATATTTTCAATGAAATTAACAGTATCGTCCCGTGTTCTAATTATTTCCTCGCAGAATTGAACACTTTGGTCAACGTCGTCTTCTAGTAATTCCTGCACCAAATGTGGTTTGTAACATCAATGTCTCGTGATATTTGTCTCTGAGTGATCTTATCTGGGTGCCCTTTTGGTAAATACCTGACGTGGCCAAACTCTCTAAATTTCTTTTTAATGTTACTCACAGTAGATTGGGCAATTGGCGGATGATTGGGATATCTTGCATTAAATAAATTAACAAGTTCTTCATGTTTACGAGTTCGATCTCCGAAACCAATCATCATAATTATCAGTTTGATGGGTAATATCGATAAGAAACAATTACAATAGTATTGATAGATTGTATGTTTACTATGATTTTTCAATTGTCTTGTACTTACATTCATTACTATTTTATGCCAACATTTTTGTAAAATCCTTGGTTCTTATTTCTCCCTTGCTACCACCACTAGTTTCCACAGCAAATTTAAGTGATACTTTTTTATATATATTTTTTGTTTTGCCGTTTTCATACCAGGAGAAAACCAATTTTTTACCAATTTTTTACCAATTTTACCAATTTTTCTGCACAGATCTTTAACGCACTTTAAACTTTTGAAACTAGCCATCGCTAACATTCTAGTTAAAACACTCTGTGTAATAGTTATTTAAAAATGTATGACTTTTTGTTTCATTAAGCTCCCATTAATATGCACATGTCTTATACAACGCTTTCTCCATTTCTGAATATTTTGCTTTTTTCAATGAGCCTTTTCTACTTGGCTCTAATGGTTGACCTAACTGCTAATATATTTGATTTGTTTTTGAACAAACGGTTCATTTTGCTATGCCGTACTTACTCCTTTCTCATGCTCTTCAATTATCTTAGATTTTTTGTAGAAAGGTAAACATTTACTTTTAATTTTCGCCATTTTTAACAAAACTCGTTAGCGACGTTTTCGTCTCAACTACCACACAGAATCCATCACTTTTATAACAAGATAAAACGTGTTTGCCTTTGTATAATATTCTCCATTTTAAGTTAAATCAAAACGTTGCAATATACGTTTCCCAATACTTTATCGGTGTGGTACTAATTGTAGCACCTCGCTCGCACGCGACCTCGGCGTAATCAAGCGGAAACATATATGTACATATTTTCTTTTGCTTCAAATACATTGTCCAATGGTATAAACTCATAGCATTCATAGCGCCTCGGCCGTAAGCGACCTCGGCTTATTGTTTAACCAAATAGAATCAACTAAGTCGAGGTGATTCTCCTAGTTAGGCCAAGCTGAAGTTGCTTCCGGTTAAATTGAAAGTGTTCAGAGTAACCCAACCTTACCGATATTTTCATGCAAATATAACGCGTAGTTTTTAAATTTGTAATATTTGAATGTTGTTTTTATATTATTATAGGAAGGCCTAAATCATAATTCTTATCTTCCTTTGTATTTTTACATAAATTTTCTTTACTATCTTTGTGATAGTGGAGTTCTAAGAAAAGTTTGTTTATACTAACTTTGTTATCATTTTCGATAGGAGAGTGGATTGGATATGTTTAAAGATTTGAAATGAAGAAAAAAGATGTAGGAGTATTTGAGCGGAAAGGTCATTAGCGTGGGGTAAAGGAGCCCCGAAAAATCAAGCGGAATATTTATGGGTGATAAAAATATTCATTAAGGTTCAGCCCTCGGAAAGAGATTTATTTAGCGAGAGATAGCGTTCGACCTTTAAAAATGTGTGTCGCTTTTGGGTCGACGGCTCGACAATCATTAAATAATTAGTTGAATTAAAGAACGATTAAGAATCGGCAATGGCCATTAAACGGTAATTATTTTTCGATATTTAAAACACACTCCTAGATGTGTATTTGCTTTTGATTTTACAAATGTTTTCTATAATTATTGGATTTAGCTATCTGCATGATTGAGTTTTAGCAAATATCAACAAATTCTCTATTAATTAAACACAAAATTCGATCGTTCGACGATTTACGATTGCCCATTTCAAAAAGTTAATCGGAAAAAATAAACAGAGAGTCGTGTTTTGACCATTAGATTCGGTTGTTGAGCAAACAAAATTTTTTTAATAGCGAACATCCTCATCGTGCTCTCGTCCCTTTATAAATAAATTACCGCAATTATTATTACTCGTACTCACTTTGTTGCGCGAACGATGCCACGAAAAAGAAAGATAACAACAACAGGAACCTCATCGTATCACATTCACCTGAACTCACAAAAGAGATGTTAATTTGATTGAAGATGTCACTGCACTAAGAATTAACGCTGGCGTGATGCTTGCTTGACCCAGAGGTCAATTTCTGTAATCGTCATTGACATCCGAAAGATAAAAGAGTTCAAAGTGTCCTGTTGGCGCATCGTACTAGGTCTTTTATATAATTCATTTTTAAATACTTCTTTGGATACAACTGGCGTCGTCTGGTGGTCATTTTGGTAACCATAATCAAGGTCACCTGCCACAATTCAAAATTAACGCCACCGTCACGTCAAATCTCCGACGAGAGAACAGCTTTTTTAATTAAAAAGTTTATTTGCTTCGTGGCTTGCTCGAATTTATACGCCACTGCTACAGCAGATGTTTATGTTCGCCATTTTGATTACTAAAGTTTTAACGGAATTATTTAAAATGTTGTTTTCCCGTTTATTTACTATGTTACTACTTATTATTATTAATGGAATTAAATACGAGTTATATTATTTTGTTCAAATAAGCTTTTATTAGTTCTTCATAGATCAAGAGAAAAGTTTTCTTCTAAACCTTTCTAAAAATCAATTGTTCTTCGGCTAATTTAAGAGCGACTTCTTTAGGAAATGTTCTTTGCAACATTTTATCTTTCATTTAATTATTAATTACAAATGCGTTTATGTCTGCAATATTTAATAAGGCAAAAAATAAGGTCAGTGGCCAGTGGTTTCTGAACAGCAGATGACCGATCGATCGTAGGCTGATTATGAAAAGCCAAAACAAGCACAACCGATTTATACTTTTTTGGTACATACGATACCAGCAACATTTTGTCTTTATAACCAAATAGACTGCTTTCTGCTTGGCGATGCCTGCTTGATAGAAATTCTCTGCTCTAGAAATTGTTTTTTTTAAGTACCAACAAGGGTAAGGAAATAATTATTGAGCAATTTCAGAGCCATTATTGGTAGACCAGTTATCTGTAGTAATATTCCTATTTGAACCATTGATGGGTATAACAAGTCTCTCCTCTACCTCACCAGGATAATTGCTCTTTGCATTTGTACCATGTGGTTGAGCTCCAGTGTAAAGTTCAAGGTTATACGTATAGAATGTTCTAGAATCAACTAGATTATACATTTTCAATCCATATTTAGAGGGAATATATTGTCTAAAACCGGAGCGCCCTCGAAATGGAATAAGCATCTCGTCAATAATGAGACATGTGTTGCATTGTTCAACGAATATATCTGCTTGTCAGAGAATCAAATCTAATGCTACTCATTAAAAACAAAAATCTCTTGGACTTCATGCATAAGCGAACAAATTGAATACCAGTGCCATCGGTATCCCACATGTCCAGAAAACTAAGATGGGCTCTCAACATTCCACTCATTATTAAAATACCAATAAATGCTATTATTTCAGCTACAGTGGTATTCTGCGCATCTCGCTTTCTTGTAAAGTTTTCTTTTATTAGATCTATGTATTAATTTGTTTTTTCCGTAATTAATACAAGAGTTTCATGTGTCATCAAGGATTCAAATCAGGAGATCGGAGTTGCTGCCTATTTTGCATTGCCTTTAGGGCCAGGAAGATGGGATATAATATTCCTTACTCTTGTCCTTCTTGGAGTTGGAAACTCTTTTTTTCACTTGAAGGTTTTATCTTTTCCTACAAAATAACTTTTAGTAACTGTTTCTTCATCTTCGCTGATTCATAGTTAGAATTAGCCTCCATGGCGTCAGATTCGATTTCCACAGGACTCTCGTGATCTTCTTCATTTCAAAGTTATTGTTCGAATCGTCTTCAAGTATGATATTTTGCACTATTTCCTCCAGTTCGCGTTCTGTTAGAATTTCCTCCATCATTATTTTAACAAAATATGTATTAAATTTTTTGTAAACAATATCCTGTTGTATGTGGCTCCCTGGACTTTATGCGCATGCGCAGAATACGTCTACGTGGGTTATTCTAAATAGCGGTAGGAAAGTTATAAACAAATTATAAGATTCCTAAACATCTCTGTTCTTCTAATTTTTTTTCTATCATTGTCGCGAAGCCTCGGCTTTGTACAATCTACCGATTTTATAAACATTTTTTCGCAAAATTTTGTGTAAACTGTAAAATAAATACTCCCATATCCATGAATGTAGGTAGTTTAATAATGTTCAACTATTGTATAAAAATCATTATTAACGTAATATAAATTTAAAAAAATAAATCGTAAACTAAATAATACAAAGAGAAGAAATCATAAAGATGAGTATGACAGTAAATGAATAATAAATATTTTATAAATAATATTATACAAATAGAAATAAAGTTTAAACTATATTGCATTATAAAAAATTGCACTGATAATTATTTCCTCTTTTACTGGTGTCTACAAGAGGTTCCAATTAAATCATTTTTCATTGTCCACTTCAATTATTGAGGGCTCATATTTGATAATGCCACTCAAAACATAGTTCTTTTAATTTACTTTAAAGTATTCTGGAATCTCTTCTATTCTTGTACGGAATCTTGATATATCCATATCATAGAATTTTCGCATAGAATTTTTGTATGCATCCTCAGTGTCAATCCACAGATATGGCCCCAACAGGTAATTTCTAGTTGAATTATTTCCACATTTATGACATGGGTATATTTTTGTTTGTAAATAGTGATTAATTGATTCTTCAAGGTTTGAATAATTGTAATTCCATACAATATTTAAATTTGGAATGGGAATTGCTATTTTATGAAGTACTTGTTGTTCTTGACATTTCAAGCACGAATTTCGTTCTTCAATACATCTATAAGATAATGGATATAAATATTACTTTGTATTTTATGAATAGATTTTAATATATATAGCCACGGTTCAAATACAAGCTATTATCCACACCATTCATACAATACTGTTGCAAAAATGATGAATAGCATAATCGCTATAGAGCTTGTGCTTCGTTTTTTTGTTTTAATGAGTTCTAAAAAATTGTTATAATTGCAGTAAGCATTACTAAGAATTTCAGAAATAGCATCAAAGACACAAGTATTGTTAAATGCGGTCATTATACCATTAATGGAAATAGATCGTAATTTATTTCCATTTTTTAATATACCTTTTCCTTTTTTCTTCATCTTCTTTGGTTTTTGCATGTCGGCAATTCAAGACATTTTGTGACATATCTACCTCTTAATGACAATGTATGAGATATATACAGTCATAACTGCTGTTCCAACAGATGAAATAGGTTTGAATGTTGTAGCCACTTCAGTTTTATCAGATAAGGCTACCGGAATATGTATTGAAGCTGATGTAGCCGGCATCAATTCTCTATCAATAGGTGAGTTGATAATTGGTTCATCTTCCTTAAATTTCTTCCGTGGCATTTACCATCTTAAATTTTAATGAAGAATAGCTGTGATCCAGTAATGATAGATCCGGTTGATTTGCTGCATCTTCAGAAATATTAATCATTGTTCTAGGTTTATCAGAGTCATGTTCAATTGGCATTATCGCTAATTCATTTTCATGGTAAGAAAAATAATCTTTTTCAATTACGCACACTTTGTTTTTCCAGCGTTCAACTGCATGTAAATATATATTCACTAGAGTCTTGTTTCAAGTCATGATTCACAATTCTAGTTTGATCTCATGTTTGATCTGCTTTTTTTAAATTATTTGTTGCATGCTCTAAGTAAAAATAATTTTTTTGTCGGAACTTTTATTTTACTTTTATATTTTCAATGAATACAGCAGTAAATCTGATTTTCTTTTCTTCTTTTGGTTGATCTTCCATAACGAACATTTTAATTTTTTCACTATCATTATTGACTGTACTATTATTTGGATCAAATTCGAATGTCATAATCAACTACATAATTTAAAGCATATTTACAATTTTCATTGTCGACATCGCTATTGCATGAAATTAAAACTTGCTTTCAAAACGATACAAAATGACAAATTATTTATTTTGGTCATAAATCCAATACACCTTTTGTATAATTTTGAAACTTTGTCTTCGGCTTTAGACGCAGGACCACATCAGTTCTCATCTGCATCGGTAAATGTATATATATTTGTTGTTCTAACAAAATTAACAAACATAAATCATTATATTTGACGAATGATGTATTATTATACGCAAAGCACAAAGCATTTCTGATAGCCTTGCTTAAATCTGTCACAACTTCGTTAGCTGTTTTTGCACCCGACTGGCGAAAACTTTGTAACCACTGGCACAACTATATTTTGTATGTAAGTGCACAATACTGTGAGGAATAATGAAGAATTTTCACAAATGAAGAATGTAAAATTTGTCGTAACCAATAAATCTTGATCAAAAACGATTAAACTCCACATCATTTTTTAAAATAGTTAAGGAATCAAACAATTTGATACCTTTGATACCCAACTCTTCCATTACTCCATCCTGTTTAGCTTTTTGCAAAACAGGTAAACTGTATAGGAAAGGTGGTTCAGTCATCAGCATTCATATGTTTTTTTTTTAAATGTGGAAGTCATTTGTATCTATAGTGTTAACAATAAGTTTTACAGGCTCATCTTTCAAAGGTTCTTCGCCAAACATTGTCACTTTGGCTCCACAACACACATTTTCCTTCCGCTTTTAAGAAAAAGTCAAAATTATTAAGACTATGCCTTGTGAAACTAAACGAACAGGGTAGTTTTTGCTGGGTATAAATCAGATTTCGAAATAAATTTGTCTCTTTCAAAACTGCTTGCTCGCTACCATTCAATTTCACTTGTTTTACAGGACTGATGCTTTCCACTGTTCTTTCGTAACATATAAGTGAAATTCGAGTTTTCTTCCTTTCACTTTTTTTGCACTCACTTCTTCATCACTACCTTCATCTGAACTTGTTGGCATTTTATATTGATTTATATGTTGATATTTGATCCCTTTCATTTTTCTATAATGCATTTGTACATTTTCTTCATCTTTACTTACTTTAAAATACAGTGATGAAGGCTGTATAACATTATTAAAATGATTTGCAACCACACATCATTCCGTTTATTTTTTAAAACATCACCATTAAACAAATCATGATGCAGCAGTTCTTCTAATATGTCTTCAGGAGACACTAAACACATATTGTACATTAAAGTTAAACAAAAGCAATGTCCACACGAGATTA